GTATGGAGGATATGTGTGGGGTCCCCGCTGCGGCGAAATGCAGTTTTTGAGACCCGAGGGTTTTCGGGAGCAGGCTTGGGGGAGCTTCCGGGCTGCCCCCGGAGCGTCCTCGCCGGGTAACAGGGAGCCCGCTCCGGAGGGTAAACCCGGCCCGCAAAGCCAGGGGATAGTTTTCAGAAGCTTTTGTGAAAGTCTGGCTTAGGAGGATGTGATGTAAACTGATTAAGCGATAGCTGCTTGCTTCCACGCTGGTGCAACGAGCAGCTGAAGAAGCAGAAAATGTGCGGAAAGTAGCGTCTCCTGCCGCACTTACTAAGCGGCCAGCGGTGCACTGAAGGGCTGCACGGTGAACAAATAAATATGATTTAAGTTATTCCACAATTAGAAGGCATTGTAATTCAAAAGGACTGAAGTATTCATAAATTGTGAATGAAGATGGAAACAATGATAAGGCTTATTCAGTGATTGGATACAGTCCTGTAGCTTTTTGGCTGACACATTTTTTATTGTTTATATTTTGTTTGGCATCTAAGTGTGATTGACTTAGATATGGATATTTTCAGCGAGTAGACGTGAGCTGCAGTGGAGCAAAGCTGGGGAAGAGTACTGTTGAGATACTTTTTCTTCAAAAAATAAATGAATCCTTGTAGGAAGCGTTTGGCGTAACAGATACGCACATGCTTACAGGTACACACATAGAAATAGTTACTTATGGTGGAATCCGCAATTAGTAAAAATTAATTCTGTGTGGGCTGTCCATCTTGTGAAATTATTGACAGGAAATAAGACCTCTGCACCGGAGTATGAACCTGAGAGGACAACTTAAGAAGGCGGTTTCTACCTTGGAAACCTGCAAATTTTCACTACCACCTCTTATTACAGTGATAGTTCATTTTGTTGCTTCTTGCTCTAATGACTTTTTTTTCCCCATACATTTGCTTTTTGGCCTTAGAGATGTAATAGATTTCCTCATTCTTCACAAATCTGTATTAAAAGACTGCACTCAGGTGTATACTGAAATACAACATTGTGCTTCTACAGCCATAAATACAGGAAAGCAATTCCTGGCTTTCATGCGTTGATAACTTCTCCATAATATTTTACAATCACACTGCATCATGTGCCATGCAGAGACAGTTCTCATTTAGTGGTACATATGTGGAACACAGTTGCAGCAAATTGATTTCAATTTGGAATCTTTCTCTACCTATTCGGCATCATAAAGGCATTTTTAAAATCATCTTTCCTCTCCATAAATTAAAAATTAAGACTACACTGGCTATGAGAATTTATGCTGTGTGTTATTTATTTATTTAAAGCAGAAGATTGATGAATCTTACTTGGAGCTGCGACCGCGTTAAAGTATTACTGCCAGAATGGTTCTCCCTGTTGCGTTCTCCGTCTCTAGGGCTCTTGCGATGCACGTTGGCTGGGGTAGTGTATGCTCAGAAGGGGACGTGTTGGTAAAAGTTCTAAACCCAGAACACCTGTTTGGACCGAGCTCCCTGCGAAAGCAGTAGTTCAGTTTGTGCTGAGAGAGCTCTCAAGCACCGTTTAGAAATTAGTCTAAAATCCAAAGTACAGCTTTAAGACAAACCTTGGCAGTTCGACTGTTACCCACCACCCTTTCAGTGAAGGTTTGGGGGGTGTAAAAATAACTCCAAGGAAGAGTGGAGACTGACCAAGTGCAATTTAATTTTTGGGGGGTCCTTTCTTCTCCTTCTCATATGCCTCTTTCCTCCTGTTTTGGAGTGAGTGTAAACTGCATTTATCTCTCTTGCTGAGGCACGACAGGATGCAGTTGCCACATTGCATGCCTTTAAGCGCTTGGTCTCTTGTGATATTTTTGCCGTGGTTTATTTTTATGTTATGGTGGTCCAGCAAACTCAGAATATGTTGTCATTTCATTTCCCCCCTAGAGTATGTTGTTTCATTATGCGCAGAGAAAATCCATGCAGGGAAATTGAATACATGGAGTTTTCTGTATAAAATTTCTAGGCTGCTGCTTGGTATATTTTATTGTATGGTCCTCAGTTCAAACTTGCATTAATTGATAGAAAGTTTATAAAAGTGGAAGATAGGAGCTGGGTGCTGCATTTCCCCTTTACCTTTTCCATAAAGAAAACCTGGCCTATCTATCATCGTTAGATGACTGGTATTTTTTCCTGTATTTACAAGCTACATAGATATTATACAATAACTTCCATTTTAATTTAAATTACCAGTGCACAAGGGTTCACCTGAGCCATTTGATGACATTTGAAAATCATACCTCCATAAATCACTTTATTGTAAGAGCAACTGTGGCACATGGGTAAGTGCCACATAAAAAAAAATGTTTCAATATTGCCTGTATGAATATTAAAGGTGTGGGGGGGGAATCAAATTCTGTAGATGGCTTTTTAGGAGGTTTAGTGGAGAACGTGTGTGATTAATTGCAAATCTCCATTTAGGATCGTTTTTATGGGCACTTCTTGTCAAGTAATGTTTCATTTGAAAGGACTCCAGATGCACAATGAATCTCTCACAGATAACTGATAATACTGCTTTAGAGCAGGATGTTCTTTGCCGTGTTTCTCCTTTGCACTCCTTTGCATGTATTTGTATCTTCAGGATTTAATGATATTATGATAGAAAAGCCTGAATGCAGTTTTAAAAAGGTTTGGTTTTCTTCCCACCCCCCACCCCCCCCCTTTAAAAGGAAACATTCAACCACTACAGATTGGAATTTAAAAAGTGGATTTTTTTCTCTATAAAATGTTCATAGATGTAAATAGCTATAGGCTTTTATTGGTAATACTCTGTGCATTGCCTAAAGGCATAGCCATTCCAAAATAGTTTGTGATGTTCTTCTTAAAAATGACTACTAGATTTGCAATATTGTAGCAGCATAGAATATTTCCACATTAATTTTATTGCCATTTTAAGTCATAAATGCTGAAGTCTGTTCAGGGGTAGGAGAAATCATTGTATTGGGGCAAAAATTCATTTCTCACAAAGTTCTTCAACCCTCTGCCTTTGCCTCACCTTTAGCCCCAGCTGTTAGAATTTTCAAAATCTGTAGTAAATCTGTTTTATTCAGTCTAAAATGAATTGTAAGGATTTAACACTGTGCAGTCATTACGCTTTGTTAATTTTTTTTTAATTTTGAGTACTTTGATTAAGATGAGTTCTGTAGAAGAAAAAAATAAACTTTCTGTAGTAGTTACGATTGAGAGGGAAAAAGCATGGCATCGGAAAGCGTATGAAGGTGGGGAAGTCTTATCATGGGCTGTGGTTACTCAGAGCAGTATTGCCTTCCCACACAAAGAACAGATTGTGGTTTAACTCTTTCCATGGCCTAGTTTTATGTGCCAGTTTTGTATCAGAATTGTTCAAATCTCCGCTGGAAACTACTAATCAGTTTAAATATTGCCTTTGTGGCTCTTTGTCAGCATCATACGGTAATGCAATCATTTATGCCCTGAATTATCTTCCTATATTGTCTCTCTCTCTCCTCTT